ACAGCTCCAAAGTTTGACAGCAGGAGATCTTCTGCGACTCAACGAACACAGATCTGATTCCATGGTTCTGCAAGTTCGAGCTCACGCTACAGCTACACTACGTCAACGAACACAAGCACCACGCGTACTTATACTCCCGGTCGGGGGGCGCGTGCCAGGCATGGTTGGACAATCTCTTGTCCAAGTACGGCGTAGTAGCTGGCGACTTGCACACCAAGATCAGTTGGGATGATCTGAAGGCGGCGCGGCACAAGCGGTTCCAAGTCGAGCCGCCGGAGATCAAGGCTATGGACAAGCTCATGGTCTTCGAACAAGGCACACTGCCGCGTACCGACTGGATTGTCGAGTACCAACGCTTGACATCAGTCCCACACATCCAGATGGGCTTTAAGGCCATCTGCCACTATTTCATCTAATGGTCCTGTCCGACATTAAGCAATGCCCTGACTCACGTCGAGGACACCTTGACGACAACAGCGGAACTCTTTGACAAGGCCACGCAGATCATCATTACAAACAAGGAGGCTAAGAACCTGCGTTCGTCTCCGGCAGGCCCGAGCAGAGACCAGCATCGGCCAAGAGTGGTCGTGGTCGCAGCGACAACGCCGTTTGACCAAACTAGCGAGGCCGTGTCTGTCCATGGAGGAGACAGACTCGCAGCTGCCCGGGAAGGTGGCCGCCCCGGCAGAGGCCGAGGACGCGGCACGACGAAGACACACACCGCATCTAGCCCCGGGCCCGGCGCAGCAGCTCCAGCCCCATGGTCCCAAAACGGCATCTCCGAGCAAGCATTCAAGGCGCGCACGAGATTTCACTATTGCCTCTGGTGCAACAGCGATCTCCATGAGACACTGGCCTGCCCATTGAAAGGCAAGGGCAAACAGGGAAACTGAGCACCGCCGAGAGTGACTCGACAACACTCTCGACGCCTCCGGAACCGGTTTCTTCGCGAGTAACCAGGCTTCATTCTGAGGCGCACGCGGAAGTCGATAGCCCTCCTCTTCTGTATTCTTTTGAGGACTATGCTGCCCGGCTCGTTCCTACGCTGGGTACTCAAGCGGCAACTTATCGTCTTCAAGTGTGTGAGGCATCTTCTTCGTCCGGCAGCGGCGACTTATCGTCTTCAAGTGGTTCTTCACGAGATTCGGCGCGCGAGTTCAACATAGAGGTATTGGACCCGCTCATGTCCGAGGACTTTGCATGGCTTCCTCTCCCGACCACAGACCGCTTGCCGAGACCGCAATGCGCAGCACTATGCGCTCATCTCCACACATACGTATCCTTCTATGCACCAACTTCGCCGACGGATGACGAAGTCGCGGTGGGGGACATCCTTGCGTATGTTACCAAGGTGGTCCACTAGTTTCGCACGCAGCGGTACGATGACAACAACGGGCCGCTCACGTATGTCCGCATTCAGGTTGGGCAAGCGTCCTGCAGCGCTTTGCTGGATAGCGGCGTGTCTTGCAATTTCATTTAACCTGGCCTTTATGCAAAGGGCTGGCCTTGGAGCACAAGTTCAGAGGAAGGCAAACCCGACGGCAATCAAGTTGGCGGATGGAATTCCACCGGCGGACTCTTAGCGTTCACGACGCCTTCGGCGCACCCTTCGATTCGGTGCCAAGTGGTGACCAAATCATTCCGGGCGACTTGCGCTTACGAGCAGCTCGAGGAGATCGGCCTATGTTTCCTACAGACCGTCGCGGCAGCCGACGCTTCACCCACAGACTTGTCTTCGGACCCCTGGGTGGTGTGGCTGCTGGACGAGTTCGCCAACATCTTCGAGTCACCTACCGGTGTGGTGCCGGATCGGCCGATCTCTCACGAGATCATTCTTGAGGCCGGTGCCGTGCCGTCGAAAGGTTGCATCTATCGGATGAACAAGGAGGAGCTTGAGGTCCTCCGCGCACAACTCGACGATTTGTTGGCCAAGGGTTGGATCCGCCCTAGCAGCTCCCCATATGGAGCACTAGTTCTCTTCGTCAGGAAGAAAAACAAGGATCTACGATTGTGTATCGACTACCACAAGCTCAACGCGCAAACTGTCAAGAATGCGGGGCCTCTTCCTCGCATCGACGATCTTCTTGAGCGATTGGGCGGCGCAAAGTATTTTTCTAAGTTGGATTTGAAATCGGGATATCATCAAATCTAGATCCGGCCGAATCATCGCTACAAATCCGAGTTCAAGATGTGGTACAGGCATTTTGAGTGGGTGGTCATGCCTTTTGGCCTCACCAACGCTCCGACGACCTTTCAAGCGGCAATGACCAATGAGTTTCATGCAATGTTGGACCGGTTCGTGCTGGTCTACTTAGACGATATTCTCGTCTATAACCGAACATTGGAGGATCATCTTGGGCATCTTCGATGAGTGTTGGAGATGCTCCGCTGCGCCAAGTACAAGGCCAACCGCGACAAGTGCGAATTTGTCCAACAAGAGTTGGAATACTTGAGCCATTTGTCACACCGGAGGGCATCAGTCCGCTATCGGACAAGATTCAAGCCATCCAAGAGTGGCCGAAGCCTCGGAACGTCACGAATGTTCGTTCGTTCCTTGGCCTCGCCGGCTACTACCAGCGTTTTATCAAAGGCTACTCGAAGATCGCGGCCCACTTGACCAAGCTTCAATGCGAGGATCGGTCGTTCGACTTCGGAAAGGAGGCGCGCGAATCATTTTTAGCTCTCAAAGCCGCGCTATTGTCTGCGGAGGTCTTGCGGATATACAAGCCGCTTTTGCCTACGCGCGTCACTACGGATGCGTCAGGCTATGGCATTGGTGCTGTCCTCGAGCAATATGATGGTGTGGACTCGCACCCGGTCGAGTATTTCAGCAAGAAAGTGCCCGTCGTGCATTCCATTGACGATGCACGCAAGAAGGAGCTCCTCGCCTTCGTCCACGCAATCAAGCGGTGGCGACACTTCTTCCTTGGTTGAAGCCAATTTCGATGGGTAACGGACAACAATCCGTTGGTCTTCTATAAGACCCAAAACACCGTCAACAGCACCATCGATCGATGGATGACTTTCATCGACCAGTTTGACTTCTTTCCCGATCACATTCCCGGGAAGTCGAATCGTTTTGCGGATGCTCTTTCAGGGCGTCCGGATCATTGTACCGCGGTCTACTCAACCTTCAAGATCGACGATGACCTGCGGAACAGCTTCATCCGCGGCTACCAAGCCGACCCTAGGTTCTGCGACAAGCAAGCGAATTGCTCCTCTCCTAATCCGGCGCCTTCTCACTACCGGATCCAAGAGGGGTACTTGCTTGTCCACATACGGAGGAAGGACCTTCTTTGCGTACCAAGTGATCCTCACTTGCGTACACGGCTTCTTGGCGAGTTCCACGATGTTCCCGCCACCGGACACTTTGGAGTCAATCGCACGATTGGCCGACTTCGCGAGCGATTTTGGTGGCCCGGCCTTCTCGGCGACGTCACATGCTATTGCGAGTCATGCGAGGTTTGCCGACGCTGCAAATCCCGCAACCACCGTCCGTACGACGAGTTACGACCATTACCGGTCCCTTTGAGGCGAAGGGAAGCGATTGCCATGGACATCAGCGGCCCGTTCCCCAAGCACAAGACCGGCGTGGATGAGATTCTCACGGTGGTCGACCGACTCACCAAGTTTGATATGGTTTTGCCTTGCCGCTATCATGCCAAGGCAGTTGGCCGAGGTTCTCTACTCCGGTTGGATTCGAACCAAGGGTTACCCCAAGGAAATCGTCTGCGACCGTGACACTCGGTTCATGTCCGATTCTTGGTTGGCGCTCATCAAGCGATGAGGCTCATCTCTCAAGCCCAATTCAGCTCGCCACCCTCAGACCGATGACCAAACGGTGAGGGCGCACCAGACCGCACAGGTTCTCCTTCACACTCTCATCCGTCCTGACCAGAAGGACTGGGTTGAGCGGTGGTCGGATGTCGAGTTGGCCTACAACTCTTCCATCCACCCGACTATCGGGATATCGCCTTTCGAGTTCGAGCACGGCTCGCCGGTCACTTCACCATTGGACACTATCACTCCACGAACGGCCGAGAGAGACGACCATCTTCATTTTTTATGTCGGATGCAAGAGCTTCTTGTCAAGGCACGCGACCAGATGGCTAAGACGCAGCAGCGCATGAGCCAGCAGGCCAATCGCCAGCGTCTTCCTTGCCCATTCCCCGCAGGCGACCTCGTTTGGGTTTCCGCACCGGAATTCAGCCTTGAACAAGACATCTCTCGCAAGCTCCTCCCGAAATGGATGGGGCCTTGGCCGATCGTAGCACTCGCTGGGGACGCACCCGAGGGACTTTCCTTCACGATTCAGGTGCCCGCCCACTTGCCCGTCTACCCAATCTTTCATTGCTCCAAGTTGGCTCTTTACACGCCAACGGAACATGACGATTTTCCCGGGAGATGTTCGCAAGACCCACCCTCTATGGACTCCAAGTTGGCTCTTT